ATTTTTTGTTTCAGGTACTGAGTGATGCGCCCTCTACTTCACTAACCGATGTATCCAAAATTTCATCAATGTCCACTGTTTCGGCGCGCCACAGAAAACATGTTGAAAAGTGGGTTACTTTGGCAGTAGTTGCCGTATTATTTTTACGCAGTGAGATTAATAATTTTAGCGTTATTCATTGGCTCCGTTCTTTCCAGTTCTTCCCGCCGTCTCGTTCATTTCCCTGCCTTGCTTCCTTCTCCCGTTACTTGAGAAGTGAGGCTGTTTGTATCTAGATTCCTTACAGTGCAACACTCTGCTTTACCGTACTTTCCAAGTTTGTGCATCCTCAGATTTCGGGAATTTCGTCGTAAAAAGTAGGTTTTATGTGTCTTGTGCTATGAGACACCTGCACAAAACCATATTATGCTCCTGTCTTGTGTTCCTGTATGTGTGTTTATGTGCATTCTTTTGTTTTCGTGCGTATGTGCACGCAAGTTCATTTTTGCTCGGATTTACAACTCAGAGTCCAGACAAGCTAGGAAGCTGAAATTTTAGGAAAATGTTCACTCCCATATGCGACTCTGCAAATTTAAATTCAGCCCCCATGTGCGCCCAGTTCCCATGTGCGGTTGCATGAAAGTTTCGGCATGGAAATTCTAGCTTAGGAACGAGGAAGACTAAGAAGCTGGAATTTTAGGATAATTTTCTCTGCTGAAGCGCAAAGTAAAAAGTTTAAATTCAGATTTCAAACACGCCTAGGCCTCGGGTGCCACCACTTGAAAGTTGTGGCTCGAAAATTATTTACTGAGGAGCCACAAGAGTTATGAAGCTGGAATTTTACGAGGGAATTCAGTGCCTTTGTGCAACCCAGAGATTTCAAACTCAATTCTCACGTGAGTCTAGATCTTACGTACGAGGCGTGGGATGTTGGAGGAGAAACTACTAATTCGGTGACCAAAAAAGTAGGAAGCTGAAATTCAAAGGGGCTGTTACATGCCTATGTGCAACACAAAAGTAAATTCAGTTCCCACACGTTCACGTTTCACTTACGAACGCGTGTATTTTGACGGGAAATTTCCCAACTGTAAAACCAGGCAAGGCAGAAAGCTAGAATTCCAAGCGGGTGTTGCTTACCGTGTGCGATTACGAAGATTTTAGAATCAGCTTCTATGCTTGCCTGGATCTCACGTACAGAAAAACGTATGTTTTGGCTGAACTGGACATTCCGACGATTTGTACATATACGAAGCAGTAAAGCAGTGAACATTTTTAACAGCAAACGCCCGCTAGACAGAATTGCACAAAATGCGTGATTGTACCAGCTACCCTGATATACGCCGTTATTTAATGAGTGTCAGGAATTTCTCGCCTCCACTCTTCAGAAAACTGCCACGGTAATGTTTTGAGGTTGGGCACCTTTTCGAGCTGTATTGGAAACTCGCGAGCGGCTTCGATAATCTATATCGGTAGTAGTTCGCCAAAGCTGGGTATCAGGTCCTCACGACGACAACGAACTTTAAGAAGCTGAAATTGTGTGGCCGTTCGAATGCGTTTCTTGTATTTATTCGACATCATAGATTGGGTTTTTATCGTCATGGGTTGTTTCAGGAAGAAAAAGACGCTGAAAGAAGGTGGCGAATATGAGGATGCTGCTTTGCTTAACGCTCTAAAAGACCTGGTTTCGCTCATTGATACTCATCAGGGTTAGCACTTTTCTGAGGTTCCATTTGGCTTCCCAGCCCTATTTCATCCTATGCGGTCAGAGAAAGGTTGCATAAATTACAGGAAAGCAGAATTTCAGATGAACTGCATTCTCTGTTACCTGCATTAGTGGCCGTGGATGCAGTCGCTGAGGCACGCACTCTGCAAAGTCGGTTCTTGCAATTGATGGATGATACAATGAAGGCAATTGAAGCGGCTTGGCCACCCTATATCTGTCCTTATTTGATAATAGGACCACTGCGAGAAATTGTATGACTTTTTATTCCTCGCCTACCACTCACATATGTACAGTATTTGGTAAATCCAACCTAAAAAGTTCTCACATTACCCACGAAATGTTGGCAAATTCTTTGCGCTTTGTGTTTACCCACGGGTTTTTCAGTATCGTTGTGATGATGGCAGCATTAGCGTTCCTGAAAATGGCATGCCGGCTAGGATACCACTGGGTGAGTGAATTGTAATTATTCATCTGCATAACACTTTTTCTCGTTGTGCACTTTTATGCATTTTCGTTTTTTGAAGTTATGCAATGCAGAAAACACATATTGATAAGGGGTTGTCTGTATGTGTGTGTCTGTGTGTTTGTCTGTACCGATTTTTCATCTGAAGACCCAAGAAAGCTATGGGGTTGAAACTTAGAGATCTTAATCTACTTGCACGTACGGGTCCAGGTTCCAAAAATAGGCGCCCTTGCCTTTGTGGTACCCACGTGCGACCCCGCCAAAGTTTTTTGCGGGTGAGCTGCTAACTCGGGAACCAGAAATGCTGGGAGGCTGAAATTCTAAGAGGACGTCCCCCGTCCGAGTAGGTATTAATGAGCTCAAACCCAGCCCCGGGTAAGCGTGGTGCCCACGTACGGGCCGGCCAAAGTTTTTTTCGGGTAAGTTGATAACTTGGAAGTCTGAGAAGCTAGAATGCTGAAATCGTAAGGAGATTTCCCCCGTCCAGGTAGATATTAATGAGCTCAAACCCAACCCCCGGGTGTGGTCCCCCACGTAAGGGCCCGTGAAATTTTTCTTCGGGTAAGTTGCTAACTCAGAAGCCAGGAAAGCTAGAAAGCTGAAATTTTAAGGGGTGTTTTCTGACAGTTCTGACGGCCAGTCTTAATTTGTTTAACTAGAAGCATTTACCAGGAAAACCGGCGCCGGTAGCGACAAAAGCGGCGGGGAACTATGCAAAAAACGCATCTTCGCAGGGGCAGTCCGTGCGTTGGCCAATTAATTCACCATCGACGAAATGCAGGTGCATATTTGCCGAGAGACTGCGCGTGTGTGGATGTGCGTCTGTGTGGATTTGGTCTCCCTCCCGTTCTCGAAGTCAATAACAATAGAAGCTGGAATATTACGGGAATGTTTGCAATCCTGAAAATGTGAAATCAGCTCTAGCTGTATTTCATTTATGATCTACATCCACAACATAAGCGCACATATTAGTCTGTGAAGCAGTGAAACACCCTTACTGTTAATTATCTTACTTTGCACAAAAATACGCAAAAGGCATGATTGCACCGATAAGCTTTTTGCGGGCAGCTGTTCGTTTCAACACGAGCACATACTTTCAGAAGCAGAATTGATGCGACCGGTACTAAGGAGAAATGTTCCGTGGCAACTTCATATTTGCAAGTGATATCAGAATTGGTAGTTGTTGTTTTGTTGTTTTTAAAAATGAAACACTTCTCAGACGACCTTCTCTCTGACACCCGTACACACGACCAGTCGTACTGATATACAAGAAAAAAGCAAAAAAGAACCAGTAAAAGAGGTGAGATCTTTGAACAGTGCAAGGTGTTTAAAGCATCTGGTAGTGACCTGATCAAAACTGTCAAACATCCCACAATTTCTGGGTATCGAGAACCCTATAATACTTTTAACAGTCCAGGAATATTCATTTCTGCTGCAAATTTTGGGGGAAACAGTTGTATTTCTGCACATCAGCATTGTGCGACTCCCGCTTCAATGACTTATTGCATACAAACAGTGTTCAGCAAATAAACCCATAGAATTCTGCCAAAAAAAAACCAAAGAAGTCAGCAAAGGTAAGAAGTGGAAGCTTTCTGCCACTTCCTCATTCAGCAGATGTCCATCCGTACATCTCTCCCTGAATAGCCCAGCAAACAAGCAATTCCCAGTTCTTCAGCCCCAGATAGCGCCGCACCACGCTACTTTTCATTCACTTCCACAAACAAAACAAGCGCTCAAATATACATAGTACGAGCACCGATACGCTGTAAAGGAGCAAAATTCGCTTGCTCAAATCGTATCCCTCACTGGGCGTTTCGCAGGTATCTCGTCTGTTCCTTGAACTTTTCTTTTTGTCCTTGCCACAATTTTTTTCTTTTTGGATGCAACTGAAAAGATTTCATTTCCCTCATTCCTTCGTTTCGTTTTCCTTGATGACTTTACTGCTTTGCTCGTTGTAACGTCATCAACCGAATTCTGAAAAGTGTGAATGTTCATCGAGCCAGGTGATGGTGCGCATGAATATGCAACGACCCGCAAATTCCCTTCCGAGATTTGAGCCTTAAGTTGGTCCTATCTATGCTATGCATGTAAAAAGACTGATTTCCACAGAATGTGCACAAAAGTTTGGAATGTCCCTCACCTGCCCACTGTCTGCTGTCCTCATCTCGTCCCATACTGTTTCTTCCTCGCTGCTACAGCTATCTCGATTTTGATCGTTTCTCTTAAATCACATTAAAATAGCTGAAATATATTTAAGTCGTCGACGTATGTCTTTATACCGTTGTGCCAGCTGCTAGTGCCACAATCTGTAGTAGGAAACTGCCTGCCGGTTGACGCAAATTTTACCTCACTGCCGATGTTCTTAAAATATCAGGCCACATACTACTAGTACAATAATTCAAAAACAACATGCGTTTTTGTATTTGCATGAAATAAACGCATAATAAGAGACAATTACTGATATGTTCTAGAAGCATTTCTTCCCCACTGCCTGTCTATTCTTAATCCCACACTCTCGCAGAATCTTCCGTCTATATGTTTATTCCCAGTCTCTAACAGGGAAATGTAGCCAGAACAACGGAACAAACCCAAACGGTCACACCGAGTAGCGCTATCGACTGATGCAGCGCCACCAGGTGACCCGCCACCAGCATTAATTTGAAGATGATTACCTTGATTTTCATCCAGTCATCCTCATATCTCTTCAACTCCAGCTCGTTAATTTCGTCATTTTCATTTATGAAGCTGGCCAGCTTATCGCGCAGCAGAATGCGATTCAAACGCGCTTTACAGTAGACCTGCAAGCAGAAAGATGCACTGATTATGCACAGGTAAACCGAGCACTCCAACAAACATCCGTCTCCGCGTAGGTGCCACAGAAACACGGCTGACAGAGGATACCAGCAGAAGATGAGTGGGCGCTGTGCGTTGTGAGCGGCTGGATCTCGATAGCACCGAAAAACCATGTTTAAATCGTGAATGCTCTCCTACCCTCCTCCAATCACCAATTCAGACCTTTTTGATCAGTTTCTTGGAATTCAAATCATGCAGTCGCACGAATCGATCGAACGAGCACGAGGCGATGTACTGTGCCGATTGATGAGCATCGATGCCACTGATGGAACCAGCGAAGCCCTTGTACTTACATATCAGATGCACTGAACAATATGATACATTAGGTCAGAAAAGCAGTGGGTAAGCTACGAGAAAACATGATCCTGTAAAGAGTAAATGTCGCGATATCTGATAAAATGAAAGGAAACAGCGAGCTTATGACACCAGGCCGCAAATGAGACACCTTCAAGCAGTGTTCAGTCGCAAGAGCTGTTTCTAACTTTCATATACAGCGGAAACAAAAAGCAGCAAAAATCTGCGAGTTTCTGCACCCGGAACAGTTACTTTCTAGATCTCGAAGGAGTAATTCAATAGCTCAGCTGTAAGACGAGTTTTAGAAAATGAATACTTCTATTTCGTAGATCAAAAAGTCCCATGTCTCCGTGAGTATTTCCAGCAACAATATGCATTTCATTTTGGCAAAGTGACATTGCTGTTAGTGGTTCTTCCATCCACAGCATCTCTTTCACAGGCCTTCGCTGTGTACGAGGATCATAAAGCCGTATCTGAAAATCCATGGCTAACGATTCAGACACCCATTTCTCACCAATAAATGATATAGCCGCAAATGTGTGTTACATATCAATTTCACTACATACATGGGAATGAAGCAAATGTAAAGTACAATACGTTCCGATGCTTCTTTGTGTTATAATCTTACACCACATTTGCAATCGCTAGTAAAATAAACTACAAAAATATGATACTGACGTCCAAATACGTCGCTTAATTTTGTTGAAACGAACAGAATTAGCTGAAGCAAGGCATTCTCACCTGGTTTTTGCCAGTAATTGTTACGATGTTTTGTGATTTCGGGATGAAGCGTATATCGTTCACCCACACTGGAACTCGCAGTTGCAGCTCATCCGGACGCACATTTTTTGCGAC